TCTACCTTTTAATGGTATATTTAGACCATTAACTTGTAAAAGTTGTTATTATTATTATAGTTGGATTAATATCTGCCATATTTGTAATTTTTTTTAACCATTACATTTATTCTTTGTCCACTCCCTTTTGCAAGATTTCTGATTTTAATTGAGCATTTTATATAATTTAATTTTCTTCCCTTTCTTAGTATATCAATTATATTTCTTTAAAAATTTTTTTAGTGTTTGTCCAAGAGTTTCAAATATACATTTAAAATTAATCTAAGTCTACCTTCAAATAACTCTATAACACTTCATGTGTAATGCTGGTATCTTAAAACAAACCATTTCTAATTCCTTCTTTATATACCTTGTGACATTGCTGTATTTCATTTTACTTATCCATATTTATTAAGTCTACCTTCAAATAACTCTATAACACTTCATGTGTAATGCTGGTATCTTAAAACAAACAATTTCTAATTCCTTCTTTATATACCTTGTGACATTGCTGTATTTCATTTTACTTATCCATATTTATAGCCATCTAATATATCAATTTTGTTACTTTAAACAAACACCTATGTTTTAGATCAATTAAGAATAAGAAAAAATATTTTATTTAACTTTATTTCTTCTTCGATTATTTTCCTTTTTTTAATATAGATCTCTATAGATTTTTCTTCTGTTTGAGGACTTTTTTTTTTTTTTTAACAATTTTTTTGCAGGGAAAGGCAGGTGAAAATAGTTTGCCTGAGAAAGTTTTTATTCCTCCTTCACGTTTGAAAGATTTACAAGTTTAGGTTTGTGGGCTTTCTTTCAATATTTTAAATATTTCACTCCACTTTCTTCTTGCTTGCATGGTTTGTGACAATAAGTACGATGTAATTCTTATCCTTGTTCCTCTATATGTAAGATGGTATCTCCCCTCTGGCTTCTTTCAAGATTTTCTCTTTGTCTTTGATTTTCTGCGGTTTGAATATAATATGCTTAAGTGTGCTTTTTTTTGATGTTTATTATATTTGGTTATTTAATAAAAGTATTTAACCTCTGAAGTTCCTGGTTCTGTGGTTTGATGTCTACTATTAATTTTGAAAAATTCTCAGCCATTATCACTTCATATTTCTGTTGCTCAGTTCTCCTTTCTTCTACTTTTGGTAATCCAGTTATGCATATGTTTCATCTTTTGAAATTGTCCCAGAGTTCTTGGATGCTTTGACCTGTTCCCTGCCTCCCTGATCCTATTCACTTTTCTCTTTGCATTTCATTTGCATTTTTGGGAAGTTTCTATTGACTTTTTTTTTCAAGTTTATTGATTCTTTCCTTAGACTTGCTGAGCCTAATGATGAGTCCATTGAAGGCATTATTTCTGTTACATTGTTTTGTATTTTTATCATTTCCTTTTGATTCACTTTTACAGTTTCCATCTCTCTGTTTATATTGCCTATTTCTTCTTTCATATTGTCTCCTTTTTCTATTACAACATTTAATATATTAATAATACTTATTTTGAATTCCTGTCTGATAATTTCAACATCTGGGTTATATCTGAGTTTGGTTCTGGTGATTACTTTGAATCTTCTTTCCTTTTGGCATGCCTTGTAATTTTTGTTGAAAACTGTTCATATTATATCAGGTAATAGAAATTGAGGTAAATAGACCTTAACTGTGAGGATTTATATTAATCTGGCTTGGCACTGAACTGTGTTTAATGTTTGCTGTAGCTACATATACCAGTAGCTATATATACCAGGTTTCTGTAGCTATATATACCTCTGGTGTCCTTTTTTCTCCCTCTTGACTTGGGCTTCCCTAAGTCCTCTTCATCAGGAAGAGTCTGTGTCTTGCAGTTCTTTAAGCTGTATCACATGGGTAGTATATTGGATCCTTGCTGGTGTGGCAGCAAGGAATAGGTAAGAAGGCACTGTCAATCCTTTTAATGTCTTTTTGTTTTTACTTAAAAATATTCCTCCTTTCACTTTCTCTTTCTCTTAAGTCATTATTTGCTGTGTTTATGTGCTGTATGTTCCTGCTTGTTCAGTCTTCATTTCTAAAATGTGTCTTTATTTTTTTTTATTTCCTGAGATCTCTTGCCAAATTTCTAAGTTTTTGTAATTCTGATTTATGTTTTTTTTTTTTTTTTTCCATGTCCAGCAACGAATCGCAACCCTCAGTGTCGCCCCCGTACCGGACCGGGACCGGCAACGGGATCGCAGCCCTCGGCGCCGCTCCCACGCCTCCCTCAGCCAGTGAGCGGGAACCAGTCTGCATGTGGGATCCGAACCCTCAGCAGGAGCGCCGCCGCGCTTCCCAAGCTGCGCACTATAGCAGTGCGCCACCCGGCCGGCCCCCTGATTTATGTTTTTATTTCATGTCTTGAATCACAGTAAGTGCTTTAGATCCTTCTAAAAGAGTAGGTTAAAGTTTTGGTATATTTTGTAAGCATGTCTTTGGGGTGCTTTCATTGAGGATAAGGATATTATTCTACTTTTTAAATCTTTTTTTCTTATAATGGCTTAGTATGGGATTGCCACCAATACATTTTGTTGCTCATTTTTGTGTAAAACTAACTTTCTCAATCTTTTGGAAAGAGTGTGGTTCAGGATAGTTTATTTTATTTTTTTTAACTTCAAAAAGCTTTCTCTTTGGCTGTTTTCATGCAGTGCTCAAAACCATGATGGCTAGATTCCCTTCCCACTCTTACCTGAACCTCCTCTTTTTCTCTACAGTCCATATTATGAGTAATTTTGATTTCATTCACATAGTTCCTTCAAGGGCCCTACCCTGGGAGGGAGATTTGGACAGTCAGTTTTTCATCAGTTCATAGTGTCCTGATGGTTTCAGCTCTTCAGACCTCACTGTGGACCTTTGCACTCAGCTGCTGTTGCTTCTGGTTACTTTCTCAATTTGGCCCATGGTACTTTCCAGTGAATATCAGTAATTTTGATTTCATTCACATAGTTCCTTCAAGGGCCCTACCCTGGGAGGGAGATTTGGACGGTCAGTTTTTCATCAGTTCATAGTGTCCTGATGGTTTCAGCTCTTCAGACCTCACTGTGGACCTTTGCACTCAGCTGCTGTTGCTTTTGGTTACTTTCTCAATTTGGCCCATGGTACTTTCCAGTGAATATCATTTGACTGTATTGGAATCCTTTTATTCCCAGGTGTGACAGATGCCCAGTACTTCTTTCTGCTTCTCCCACACAGATGTTGATATCACACAAATCTTGGGGCGATTGGGGGATTGCAGCTACTCACTTCCACTTTGGAATTTATGTGGCTACTGTGTCACATGTTTTTGCTGTAAATACAGTCCATGAGGTCTTTGGTTTTGATATCTAATTGACCAGATATGTGGAAATTCTAAGAGATTCAGAAATATGTTACCTCGGCTACCATCTTCCCAGAATCCCTTCTCACCTTCTCCGAATGTCCCTTGCTAATCCAGAAAAGGTCAAACATTGTCGTTCCCTAAGTGTTAGTTAACTTGAACACCTTTCCTTCACAGCATCATGCTGCAACCTTTCTAAAAATTTTTCAGAGGCTCCTTCCTGCTCCCAGAATCAATTCTAAAGTCCTTAACGTAGTCGTAGACATTGAACTTCTGTTAGCTTACTCCTTTTTCACTTACAATGTCCACCACACCCTTGCACAAATCCTTTATTATAGGCTCTTTTGTTTATTCAGTGTTCTACAAACACAAGGTTGTACACACCTCTGTGCCTTTGCCAGTGCTGTTTTCTAAATGGCAATACTCTTCCACTCTTTCTTCCTCATCCTACTCAACCCAAAATTACACCTTTTCTGCAATTGTAATTTTTTCTTGAACCACCTAGTCAGAATGAATCACCAATTTTGGTGCAAAGCAGTTAAGTAGTTAGAAGCACAGACTCTGTCTCTGGATTTAAATCCCAGCCTGGATGATATATAGACTTGGGATAAGTCCTCATCTACAAAATGGGAATTAGAATTCTGCTGCATTGATTAGTTATTTTTGAGACTATATTGAGACAATCCACGCAAAGGATTTTGTACTTTCCTGGCATGTAATAAGTGATCAGTAATTGGGAGCCACTGTTAATGTCTTTCTCTACCACTAAAGTATGTCTTAGAGGGCAAAGACCTACTCCTACAAAATTATACCATACTTAGGGGCTAGCATGCTGCTTTGACTATACTAAATATTAAAAGAAAATTGTTGATGTTATTTTTGACCATGCAAAAGGGGAAAACTCATGGTAAGTTTAGGGAGAAGGCAATTCAACTGCAAAAATAAGCAGGAGCTAGCTTACAGTGTAGAAGAGAGGAAAAAATATGGCTATTGAACTAATGCAGAACTAGGTTCAAATCATGGCCATGGAATCTATAACCTGTAAGATATAATTATGTGCCTATTAGAGTGTTAAGAATGTGGGCTCCAGAGCTAGACTTCCTAGGTCTGAATCCAGGCTGTAACACTTCTCAACTGTGAGAGCCTGGGCAACTTTTTCACTACTGTGAGCCTCAGTTCCCTTCTCTTTAAGATGGGGATAATCATAATACCTACCTCATAGGGTTGCCATGAGGATTTCATGAGTTGTTGTATACAAAGTATTTGGAACTGCCCACATGTAGGTGTTTGCAGTATTATTAAGGTGCCAATTCTGATTACCCAGGAAGCTCTGATGCTGTGCCCATGAAGAACTCATATGAACAAATAAACAAGTAAATGGTGATTGAGTCTCTTATACTACTTTCTGCGGTCATGGCTGAAGTGTCAAATAAGAGTGGGTTCTATTTTGATTTTGGTTGTTGTTTCTATTAAGATGGGGAAAAAGAATCTTGCATTGGCAGAGTAATAGATTATTATGCAGAGTAAGACAATCAGAAGAGGCATCAACACTGTCATACATTTTGGTATGGATCCTGGATTCATTTATCTTAAATTCTGGTCACTTGAAAAGATTGCTGGCTGACTCCGGGTGAGGAACCATCATCTCACAAAAACATTTCACCTCATAACTTAATCCTTTAATATTTACCTTGAAGAAGGAAGCAAACTCTGTATTGCCGTGATAAATAGAAGAACAATAAATGCACAGACCAAGTTTGACTTGAATACTTCATCCCTCATTTGAGAATACTGTAATTAAAAAAAAAAGGAGAATGAATTACTTTGCAGCAGAGTTGGGCTTTCAGAAGAGTTAAGCTTTAGCAGTGTTTGGGGTTGGGGGGATCAGCAAGAAGAAGCAAGGCAATTAAATCTTTTTTAAACAAATTAAGAGGAATCCTTAATAAAATCTTTACAGAGCATTATTTCCATCCCTCCCACCAGCCTTCCAGAGAGACCTCAGGAGTAAATACAATTCCTTTCATAGTAAAGGGTATGGGAGGGGACTTTTTATGAGCCTATGCAGTTCTTCACCTCCCTGGGAACTCACATCATTTTAACAGAACAGAAGAGCACACATCCATATACACAGCAAATCAAATTCCCATTGACTTTCTTCACAAGTGAACTTAAGTCATTTAAGGATCTTACTGTTTCTTGTTAGGTTTGGGGACATGGGGAAATGTTTTACCAGGGGTCTTTCTGCTTCCTTTGTTTTAAAAAAGTGATTAGAACTAAATTCACAGAATCTTAGAATAGAAGGTAGCTTCAGAGATCTCCAGTTAGTGCAGCCCTTGCATTTCATAGAGGAGAAACTAAGATTGATTGACCAATACGCTCGATGCCCTTCTGTTGTCTGCTCGAGGCGGCCCTGGGGGATGGCGGTAACTTTATTTTGATTATCCAGAGTACTCAGTAATTTCATTGTCTAGCTTTAAAAGCTTCTGGAAGGTCAACATTGAATGCATACTTTTCTTACTCCTGCCTAGTCTCCTGAGCCATGTTGGAGTCACTAGACAAGGAATAATTTACTACTTTCACAGAAAAGGAAGGGTTTTAAAAACAGAAAAAACCCCATAGAATTAGCTTAAACCAAGCACCTCAGTTTGCCTTAATGCCAAAGAGGTCTGGTAACCTGCTATACTGCACAGAATGCAGACCATTTTTTGAGGTGGGGAACAGAAAGCTGAACTTGGTTTTGGAACGTTGTCATCCCTGGTTTGAATTTCACAGTTACTTTATGCAGGAAGCTGGTAAACAGCTCTCACAACATCTTAAACTCTATGTCCACATTACCAAGATAAGGTTTCATAGATCAGTGAAATAATAAAATTTGTCAACCCTCTTGTTGGTATGGTGCTGAAAATCAGCAATTATATGGTTTTTCCTCTCTCGCTGACTTCTTGGTATGGTCTGGTTTTAGACTGGAATTTACTGCTCGGTGTCATGGCTAAGGTTTGGGGAATGACCTGTAGCTGGTAAGCTTCATGGATGAAGCACAACGCTGCTCAGAGACTGCACATTTATTGCTCCTGGAGGTGAATGCCTTTTCTGCTCCCCAGTATTGGCACCTCTGTCCTCTTGCTGATAACTTGCTTGGTATCTTTAGGTGAACCAGGAATCACTATACGACACACTCACTCCTGATAAAACTATACAAAATCCATGCTACTAATAGTTACCAACAGTGCTGCCTCAGAGCAATGCATAGCCATTGAGATCCACACATACCACTCATTGGAAACAAATGAGCCACAAAGTAAATTCACAGAAAGATAAATGTCTGAATTTCTTCTAACAACTGATTGCACAAGGTCATCATAATTATTCTTCGTTGGCCGACTGATTAATTTCAAACCAGCTTGGTTATACAGATTTGATAATGGGATTTTTAAAACAATAACAACAGTAATTTTTAGTGTACTTAATCCTTCTCCTCCTCCTTTTTCACCTTCTTCATCATCATCATATGCATCATTACTAACATC